ACAGATAACGTGCTTGTATAGTGAGCATTAAAAAAAGACAAACTATTTTCAATAGAGTATAGCAGCGCAGAAAAACAGATGTGGAATAGCAGCGGAAATGATATTTAAAAATGAGTAAGAGCAGAGCAGATGATGATGCATATGCCAGCAGGGATGTAAACACTTAATGATTTTGTTAGGAGCAGTGATGGTTATAGAGTCTAACAGCTGTTGGCTGGAAGGATTTGCGATATCGCTAATTAAACTATCTCCATGCACTATGCTGCTTCGCAAAAACGGCATAAAACATGGAGAATCAACAGGAGTCAACAGACTTGACTGGTTGTGGGAAAGGAAACGGGTGATTTTGCAGAACCAGTTGAGAACAAGCCCTGAGTGAGCACTGAAATCACTTTAGAGCGGTGTTTCTCAAACTTTTCCAGGCTGAGGACCACTTAACCCATTTAGCAAACACTCACGGACCGCCGAACTTGAAATTGCCCTCGCAGTAACACAACAGCTTAAAATATACAACCTGAAATTAAAATGTTAGTACCTTAATGCCCTGATTGAATTAACTACTTTTTTGCGAAGGGTATATGTGCGTGCTGGTGGCCTGCTATTGTGTAATTCACACTGAGAAACTGAGACATACGCCTGTAGACATACATTCCTCCTTTCAAAGATCAGTAGTATTTTATTGTGTAAGCTCTTTTAAGTTTTATCAAGGCAAAGAGTTCCATGTTAAAATGATAATCCAGTCTTAAGCCACTTATCGATTTATTATTTTCAGTTATTTGATGAGCTAACTGCACACATTTCACTTTGAGCTCACATTACAACAAATAACTGTTCGTTTACATGTAGTACCTTGTGGACCATTAGGGGGCGCAGTTTGAAGAAGACAGCTTTAGTGGAAAAGTCTTCACACGGAAACAGCGTCCACACTGAAGAGGGTTATCATCTTACTGCTCTTAGATATATAGTGGGTTTACTGATTGGAAATAGATCTGATATTTTTACGTTTCTGAACAGCTGGGCATCAATCAGGTTGGAACATTTTCGAGGTTTAACCGGCCCATGCCCAGTTCGCTCTAATGCCGTCTCGTTTTTCAGCTGTGTGTGTGTGTGTGTGTGTGTGATTCCGTAATACATCCTTACAAGGCCTAATCCCACGGGTGTAGCTTTAAGATGGTCTTAACAGAAGGTGCATCCTGACATTGATGACAAGTACGGCCCCGGATTGGCTGCGGCGAAACGCACGCACAGAAGAAAAAAAATAAAATAAAACCAGTCACGTTTCATACACTGAGGCAGAGAAAAACGACGGTAGCGTCTGCATAGCGCTGCTGGTTGGAGGTTTTCAGCTGCGCAGAAGTCCTGGAGGGCCCCGGTATGTAGGAACGAGAAAGGAGTCGAGTTCATCTATAACGTAAGGAGGTCACCGTATTCCCACACGGATAGACCTACAGTAATATCTTTGGATTGTACTGCTCCCAATAAGTCAGCGCCGGCTCTGACGGGGCTATTCTTAACTTGCAGCGAGACAATGATGTAATGCCTGATGCGCACATGCACAGAGACACAGAGCAGCCTGACTAATGCAGCAGTCTTGAAAGAGGAAACAGTGTGTTTTCTTCTGCCTTCTGTCAGCTTGAAGGCCTGGACAGTCATCCCAGCGTGCTCTGGTTTAGATTAAAGGTGTCTGGTGAGAGCGCTCAGCACCAGCGGCCCACGAGTCAAGCTGTCTTTAACCGGTCGGGGAGGGACGGCGTCTCTGTGAAGGACAAAACTTTGATAAACGGGAGAGGGAAAGTTAATTTTCAAGGGCACAAAAGTAGATAGGAGTCTATATTCAGAGCATACTGTTATGTTACTTAGTATTTGTTTGTTTGAGACTCCAACTTGTGTGAGCGAGTTAGCGTGCGCACGCGCACGCGCGCGTGTGCGTGTCGGAGCTCAACCCTGCGTGGTGTGTCACCTTGACGGCACAAAATCAGCATGAAATTCCCCAATCGCTCTCTGCTGATCTCTCATTAGCATAGTTAAGATATCTAACTGCGTCAGACACAAGAGACACACACACACATACACATACACGGCTCTTACCCCCAGCTGTAAGCTGTCAGTTCCTCTTATCTGTACAACAAACACACACACACACACACACACGCATAAACTGCTCTTTTAGCTGGCATGCTGATGAGCGTTGCCTGCGTCTCTTGGCTGCCTGTCACCAGTCTGCCACCCATGAGCACCAATCAGATGTGATTGGCCTGACTGACAGAGCTCTCTTCATCACACTGACAGTTAACCCTGCTGTGTGTTTTCCAGGGTTGTTGGTAAAATGCCTCCAGAAAAGTTGCCTTTCTTCCTTCTGTCTCCGTGTCTCTAATCTCTTATTTACAGTTCTCGCTGCCTGTTTTTTTTTTTTTTTTTTTTTTTTTTTTTTACAGCTTTGCTTTGTCCAACTGTCTGCTGCCATGTTTCGCCTTTCCTCTCGCTTTCAAGATGCATCGCAGCGAACACTTTAACTGATCACAGCCAGTAATCTCTCGTTAATGTGTCTAATCTGTGTTGCTGTCTGTCTGCCTCGCTTTGCGTCTGTTATCCAATTCTCCTGCTGTGTCAGCCATCGTTGTGTTAGATCCCCGCTAATACGAAGCCAATGTTTATGACAAAGCTCAACAGTTTCCTCTTAAAGGCCATTGTTGACTGGACCTAACGGAGAAAGTTTGTTCGCACGGGGTCAGGGGCGCGGCGGCTAACTGTGACGCGTCATTTACAGCAAGCCTCGAGTTTAACTTTTATAATTATTACATCATTAGCAATGTATCGATTAAAAATATTACGGCTGTTGAAGGATAGCGATTAAGAAAACTTGGCTGGAAAGCCACTTTTTTCACTTCTGATGCCAGTACAGATATTTGAGGTTTAGCACAGTAAAATGGTGCTGAATTAACTGAAATTATTATTTTTTTTTTCCCCAAGCACAGTCATAAATGTACTGAATTACACATTTATTTTATAACTCTGCACCACTACGGCACATTTCACAAGCTTGGTCAAACATTTAAAAGCAACACAGTTTTAATTTGTTCAGTCAGTGCAATTAGGAGAATAACAGCCAATGTAAAATAACTTGTAAAAAACTTAAACTGACAAAGGTAATTCTAAATATAACGTTGAATAAATAATACAGCATGGCATCGCTCCGAGCTGAAAGCTTAGAATTAAACTGAGTAGATCTGCCCTTATGTATCGGGTACATTGTCAATGATACCTGATCTAGAATTTTCTTTCAATATCGAGATCAATACAGATGTTAATGTCAGATTGTTGCATGTCTAGAGTATTGCTGTTTTTTTCCCTATTCTGTCTTTGCTTCCTTCCTTTCTTCCACCCTTATGTCATCCCATTTTTTGTCTGTCTTGTGTCCTGCTTCAGTTATTTCCATCCCATCTCTCTGTCTTTCATCACATCTTTTCTTCCTTCAATGTCTTTCCAGTCTTCTTTTATCCTTCCTTTCTTGTAGAGTTCAGATCAATAGGCCGACCCGACCTGTTCCAGCACAGAAAAACCTAAAGGAGAATGGACAACATAAACATGTTTTAATCTACTTATTCTAGTCTGAATAGAAGGGCGGTCAGTTCAGCCTGGTCAGGAATCAAAGTGAGGTGCAGAAGCTAATCAGACTGTAGCGAGCGCAGCTTCCTCCCTGCATGCCCACGTGGCCCCGCCCTGCTCCTGTCCGTCACACATCCCAGATCATTTGCTGTTGACTCACCCTGCGGTCATAACAAGCAACAAGATGGAGCTGGAACAGGTTACACATACGCTAAAAACGGGGGAAATTACGCTAATAAGGAAGCAGAGTGCAAAGTCGGAGGTCTGGAAGGATTTTAATCTGGTTGCAGTTTAAAGTAATAGATCAGGTTTACTTCGGGCTTGGCTCTCTAATTAGAGTTAATTAGTCGGGTTGGAAGAGGCTCCAGCACAATGTCTATGGGCTCGGGTTGGGTTGGTCTCATTTATTCAGGCCTGATCTAAACTCTTGTGTCCTACATCCTGTTCTTCTTTGTGTCCCTTATCCTTCTTTCTTTGCTGTTGTCGTTTGTTGATACCACATTGAAAACCTTCCTGCTGTACAAATATTTGCCTTTTACATAAAAATGACAGTGAATCGTTGGGAAGTTTTCCAGTGCAGTAACCCTGAGTGAAAATAATCATGTTGTCAACATATTTGACACAAACATTTCAAGCAAACTGGACATGATCTATTTGCTTTTATTTTCTTTGGGATTAGCTTGACAGCTAGCTCATAGTTCACCCGCTGTAGTTTTAAAACATTACTGGCTTAATTTGAGTGATGGTTGGTGCTCCTTTGGTTTCCATGACTGTCGGTGTTTTCTGCTGCTGCTGCTGAATCTCTGTGAAAAACACCATGAAGGAGAATCTGCGCTCAGTAGATTGACAACATTACACGAATGGCTTTTAATGTAGTTTAAGTAGCCTACATGAAAATGCAGTGAAATAACAAAAAAGCCATCACAAAATGATAAAACAACGCCGAAAGAGATTAAACTACTGGAGAACGAATACAGAATTTCTTAATTTATTTACATGACTGTGTATAGATCCATTTCTTTTACCAGTACAGCTGTATTCTGTGCGCTAACGACTGAAAGTACATTCTCCCTTATCAAAGGGTTTCTTCTAATTATGTTTGTGTTTCACTTCTTCCTCCAATCAGTCACTTTCCACAGAGATCAGAGGTCAGGGTTCAGCTTCAAACATTTGTCCTTAAGCTTGTAAGATTCATTGCCTTGCTCAAGGACGCATCAGCAGTTCAAACGCTCGCTCTCAGACGGCCTTGACTGCAGTTATTCTAAACACACTCGGCCACCTCGCCGCCCTTGCTTGTCTGATCTGTTTTGGAGTGTGTTAACATGGAGTGTGTTTTTTTTTAATTCATTTCGTCTTTTTTTTTTTTTTTCTTTCTTTTTTTCCCTCCCCCTCAGACCCTGTACCTGTGCTGGAGCTGGCTCAGCAGCTGCAGCTGAAGCTCCAGAGGATGCACGACATTGAGACAGAGAACACCAAGCTACGAGAGACACTGGAGGACTACAACAAAGAGTTTGCAGAAGTTAAAAACCAAGGTTAGGGGGCGAGAGGGGGGGCAAACGGAGAGGATGATGTTAACCTACAGGGGACAACGAGGTAGCCGAAACCAATCAAAATGACTCGGGTTTTTGCTTCATGCTGTGACATTTTTTAAAAAGAAAATTAGTTAGTTGCTCAACAGAGAAGTAAGTCTTAACTTGGTGAATATTCTGTTCATTTGAAGTGTCTCTCTGGGTTCTGAGAAAATTTTACTGGTCCTCTTGTTTGGAGTCGGGGGATACAGACTTTAAGTTTTGTAGTATCACAATAGTTTGTGATGCTATTGTGATAGCGATGAAAGTGACAATAAGAACTATTTATTACTTCCCTTTTAGGTAACCATATGACTGTCGCTGCATGAAACAGCAATTATAACCCCACAAACACAAACAAATCCATCTGTGATGCGCTGCTTTAGGACACCAGTCACATAAAAAAAAGTGTGATTTCTGTCACTAAACTGCACATAGCAACTGCACTTCATCATATTTTCAAATTAATTAATATTTAATGATACTCCCATTGAACAAGCAGTGGAGAAAATGGCAAAAATAACAATCCCGTCTATACAGACAGTTTTGGTGGGATTTAAACTTCAATAATTGAAATTTATCATGACAATGATAAAACATAATAAGAAATTTATCACAAAAAATGATAAATTCGTTGTGACGATGCGATAAATGCACACCTTTACTTCTGTTAGTTCAAAATAAGTCACTCTGATGATCATGTGAGGCCAAGTAACTTTAGTTCCCTTTACAAATCGACTCGTAAACCTTTTCTCATTTTTCCCCTCACATTTACATTTTATTGTAAATTTTATTGGGTCATTTCCCAACATAGATCCCTTTTGTATATAACAAATATGAATCATGTCTCCTACATTATATAAATTTAGTCAATTTTGCATCAAAGGAATTTTAACAGTTACACAAGTGTTTTTTTTATCTTCTTCTATAAAATGTTATAAATTTAAGGATTATGACTTACAGCGGGGGAAAAAAAAAGTCAGCTTCCCAGAAAATTAAAATCTCGTGTAGAAACGTCGGCCCACTGGGAAGTAGATGCAGGCACTAAATATTTTACTGCATCAGTGCAGCTTGGCATGGCCATCAGCCTGTGGCTCTGCTGTGGAGCTGAGAACGCAGAGGCTGCTTTAACAGCAGGAGTGTGGAGTCTCATTGCTCATCTTCCCCTCCACAATACCTCAAAGATTTGCCAGGTGATCAGCTTTGCACATTGATGCCACGGTTATTAAAGTGGCATCGAATGAAATCAACATCTCCATGGTGCTCGTCAGCAGGAGGAAGCACCAGGTGCCTTAATGGTTCCTGATTGGACTTGGTGAAACACTGGGTACCAACTGGGGCAGAGGACATGGCAGGCTGTGGAAACGACACACTTGGACCTCCAGCAGCTTGGATTCTTTGCCTCTTTGCTCTTCCTCCAGACTTTGGGATCTTAATTTCTATATAAATGCAAAAGCTGTAGTATGCAGCATTTATAAAAAGGTTGCTCCATATTTCTTAACACTTTCACTCTGTCATGACAGCATCACATGAGATGGATAAGCTGTGGGGATAAAAGACAAGTTCCTACAGAAACTTGCACAAATACACTGCTCTGTCAGAAACAGCCAATCAGAGCCAGGAGGAGGGTCTTGGCCCTGCCAACCACCCAAACCGTTGAATGGGCTTTGACAACGCTGCAATTTTTTTGCATTCCTGTGCATTTTTTTTCGTCTACCATACTTTTTCCTTCCACTAAACTTTCCAATATTGTGCTTGGAAATGAGGCAGTGCCTTTAGCAGTGACCTTTTGTGTCTCATCTTTCTTGTGAAAGGAAGGAACGGTCTCCTGGACAGCTTTAGTCAGCATTTTTCTCCATGATGGCGTATGACCAAACCGTAACCAGCATTACTGTAATAACCATCCTTGTGTTGGTCTTATGTAATATGAGCATTTTATGAAATTTAAAATGTTGGGTTTTTATTGGCTGTGAGTCACAATTATAAAAGTAACTGAAACGAAAGCCAAAAAATGTAATGATGAAAAAAATCTGAGTTTTTTTGTGATCAAGATGCAGAATCTATCTTGACGAGTTCTGAAAAAAAAAAAAAGAATATATAACATTACAACAAATTCAAGGTTTAAGTCCTTATTTGAACATATTTAATGCATCATGCATATTTCAGAAACACAGGAAAACGTACAAGGTTCTACATTTTCAAATAGGTTTTAAAGATGTGGGGGTGGAGGGAGCCAGCAGAGGGTTCATGAATAAAAGACGACGGGCTACCTCAGGGTAGAGAAAGATGGAAAAACTGACAAAGGCAGAGAGATGAGTGTGAAGCGGTAATAAAAGTGCTGCAAATCCAGTCAAAAAGGAAGAGTGAGCGAGTGAGGGAATGTTTTGGAATCCCCCCCAACCCTGTGTTTTTTCTTCTTTTTTTTTCTCTTCCTCAGCGAGAGTTAATTGGAACAGCTCGATAACGGCAGGGTTCCATTCTGCCATTGATTTTTCTGTTCCCTCATCCTTTATCCCTCCTTCCCGCCTCAATAGATGCGGGGGGATATTTAAACCCCCCAAAACACACTCTGGAACTCCCACTCCTGTTGAAACCCACACGTGGCTCGCTCCACGCGCGCACACACACAAACACACACATACACGCCGAGGCGCACGGAGAGCAGAGGCCATTGATCCCTGCAACCTAAATGTTTAAAGTTCAGTTAAGCAGTTAAGGGGTAAGAGGGCTCTAAGGGGACTCTCCTGTATTGATTATGTGTCAGAGCTGTGAGGCTGTAGTTTAAATCACGTGCACACACAGAGCGCTAAGAGCCCTCAGTCAAAGGCAGCATTGCTTTATATCATTGTCTCACTCGCTTATATCTCTCTCTGAAAAACGCACACGAACACACAGGCCTGTTTATTACTCCAGTTATGTGTTAGATTTATCTCAGCCAGCCCCCATACGGAGCTCGGCAGCCGGCAGGTTATGGGATTTTGGTCCTAATGCGGCCCTAATGAAGACAGCGTATCTGCTGGCTTGGGGGGAGCAGCTGAATATTCGGTACCAGTCGCGGACGCAAAGATTAGGCCGGAGCCACGGGGGCTACGGTCTGCGGCCTGTGCTGACAAGAAGAAGAAGAATGTGTGGATATGAAGCGCTGTTCCCTAAAGGTCAAAATGCCCCGTCAAACACATCATGGTCACGGCTGCCGCTTATCACGTCCTAGAAAATGGATGTGCTCTGGGTTTTTGCCGTACTTTACAAATCGTTCCTTTTAGTTTGAGCACTTGTTTTTTCTGCCCCGACTCTTTCCTTTCAGAGGTGACCATCAAGGCCTTGAAGGAGAAGATCCGCGAATACGAGCAGACTCTGAAGAACCAGGCTGAGAACCTGGCCCAAGAGAAGCAGCTCCAGCTACACAACGACTATGCAGAGAAGGAGAGGTATGATAAACAGTTTGACTGCTGATAATTGTGTCTTTATTATGAGGTTATTTTAGTTCTCTGGGACGCTGTGGCCCTCAGACAGAATTATCAACACTTTGAAGGATTACTGCAAAGAATATTTAGAGGAACTAATAAACAAAGCTCACTTATGAACCACTTGTTCCCAGATGTCTACCAAAACATCGGGTTGTATTTTTGAACAGTTTTAAAGGAACTGAGATGATGCAGTTAATCAAATGTTACTTTCTTACTTACCTACTTACTTACAAAACATTCATCATTCATTAATTAAAAACAAAGCAAACAAAATAAACCTTTAGGGCCACCCCCAAAAGTTGGAGCCCTGGGCTGTTGCCCCCAGCAAGCCCTTTCAGAAAATATCCATAGGTCAGCATCTGCTCTTTAAAAGATGTTTTCTTTGAGACTCTAATTTATGCTTTTTTCCCCTCTTGCTATGAATATTGCATTGAAAATAATCATGTTGTTCCACCGTGCCGAGGCGCACGGACAGCAGAGGCCATTGATCCCTGCAACCTAAATGTTTAAAGTTCAGTTAAGCAGTTAAGGGGTGTGTGGAAGAAACGTTATCAGCCGTACCTGACCACTAACGTCCGGTAGGACTCCCCTCTGACACTTTTGTTACTTAATATTTTCATTCAAATGGGTCACACCCAACTACAGCAGATAAAAAAAATAAAATAAAAAAAACACAGTCAGATCACGAGCCAAACGGGGAAGAGGAAAAAAAAAAGGTTCAGTTTAAGACGCATGTTGTGCAGAGATACGTCTGTCCTCCGTCCATCTGGAGGGAGGAGAGCTGAAGATAATTTATCTTTCAGGAACCGCAAGGATACAAAAACTTAACCGACTTCCTGTGAGAAATCACCGTGTTCTTGTACACGGCGCTGACAGAGAACAAGCCAGTGCTTTATCGCCCCCTATGAGGCGGAAGTGACATCTGTTTATGGCTAAGTGGAACGCTCTGGTTTAACTGAGTTAAAGATTGAGTGATTCAAAGCGCTGCCTTGTTCTCCGTGTCCAGGTGGCTCTGAGTTCAGCTGGTCAGCTGCTTCCCTCTGTTCTGACCTAAAGGTAACGTCGCTCATTTAGGACGGGGCTGACATTTTATAGAACAAACTCCCTCTCCATGTTCACTCCATCGCTAAATGTGTCGAGGTTGAAAACTTGTTTTCTGGGACTTTGCGGAAAACTTCCTGACCTTTTTTTTCTCTTTTGGTTTTGATTATAAGCCATTAATTTTCTTCTGTTGGTCTAATTTGATATGTATTGCTAAGTTCTTTGAGGCAACAAGTGTCTCTTTAGACAGTCCGTTATAAATCGATCAAAAGGATCAAGAAAGTGACCAGAGTTTTCTCTGAATGTTTGAAGCTTAGGCACCACCGTACTGCCCCCACTTGTTGCTGTGCTAATTAGCTAACAAAACGACACCACCTTATTCCCTGGTTTACAAGAAAGACAGAAATGTCACACTAAATCATTTTTGCTTTTCTGACTTCATTAAAAGCATACAGTTATGTTTTGAATTTAATTTGTTTTGTAAATAATACACATGTACTGTTATGTAAATCCAAAGACTCTTAGTATTTTATAATTTTGAGCAAGACTCATAGTTGTAAAAAAGCTTTAATAACGAGAAGTCAAACTCATTGAAGAGGTATAATAAACAGCTGACCCAGTTATCTGAAGGTGGAATATGTCGACCTAAACAAGGGTTTGTTTACATAATGAAGCTCCATAAAGCCCATGTTTTCCCCTTGTCAATCACCTTGTTTACGTTCCGAAGGTGTGTTAAAGATTTCTAGGCTTGCAGTCGAAGATCAATTGTCCGACTGCGTTTCCTGTACGTCAGAGTTTTATAGGCCCCTTCCTGTCTGCAGAGAGCCGACTTCCTGTGTCTGAGAAGGCTGGTAAATGGATGGCACCTCCTGATGCATTTTATGCCGCGAAGGAGCGAGTGAAGGAGAGAGACGGAGATGAAAGGGGGAAGGAGGGGGCAAAAAAAAAGAGAGGACAGGGGAGAAAGATTGGGGGGGAGGGGGGGGGGGGTGCATCAAAGGGTGTCATAAAGGCCGTATTTGTGCTGGATTATTGATGTTTTTACACGCAGCGGCAATTTCTCAGCAGAGCCCAACTTTTTATGTGCCAAGAATGAATCTATTTTATCCCTGTGGTTTCTGCCCCGCCCCCCTCCCCCCCCCAACCTTCTGAGTCAGCCATTGCGGCCCCCCCACCCCCACCCCACCCCCTGGGTGCAGCGTGCCCCAGTGGCCAGACATTCCTGCCTAATAGGGCTGCTTAATGAGGAGTGGGTTGTGTTGTGGAGGGTTTTTAGTGGGGAAAAACTCTTCAGAAATGGTGGGAAAATAGAGGAATGGTTGCATTTTCCACCAAGTGTGAACCCGAGAATGACTGACTCACTATCTCTTAACTGCGACTTTGTGCTTCCTGCTCTGTTTTTCGCACCTCTTTAGGAAACTCCAGGAGAGTCAGGACTCCATGTCTTCAAGGTTGAAAGAGGCTGAACACAAGGCGCAGTCCCTGCAGACAGGTACCTGGCCCACCTCTCTGGGCTTCCACTGACTTCATTTTGAGCCCCTTTCTGACACTAAGAAAAGCTCACTTTGTGTCTCCTTCACTCTGTAACCGACCCAATGCCACAAGAAGAAAATGCTGTCACCATGACCTGGTTGCACTCAAATATGAAACACTCGCTGACTGGAAAATGATCTTTGAGTTTCAAATTTTTACTGTTCAGGTCCAATCCAAGCTGAAAATTGACCAATTCTGATAGACTGATTCTCTGTTCATTTTCTGCTTCACTTTAATCTGGACTGCGTTTGTGTTCAGAAGGTTGAAGGTAATGTCAGAAGAGGCAAATACCTGACTTAAATTAGCACATCAATGTCTGGCATCGGGATGTAAATAATTAATTGACTTATGGTTTATTAAATTAAAATTAGTTCCATTCGACTATTTAATCCCTTTAGACCTGATTGTAGTGATGTAGTTTGTCCGCCATCCAGCAGAGGGCGCCACTGGTCATCCTTAGGCAGAATCAGTGAGGAATAAAGATGGCGGCACCACCTCTGAACGGGAAAGAGAAACGGTCCCATAAAAGTCCGGCGTGGGACACAAAATGCATTTTATATGATTCTGTTTTGAAATCTAAACGCTCCAGAAGTTATATCCGTAACAGCGCTCATTTAGCTGAGCCACATGACGGTGCTGCGTCAACTTCTCATTCAAAAATTACTGATGCGCTAAAAGTGGGCAGCATTACCGCAGAAAAATTACTTGATGATAAAAGACACGATGAAGGTTGATTTTGAGGGCAGTTGTGAGTTTATGCACTTCATAGAACGAAGCTTTAAGATTCTTCCAAGAGCAACCACAGATGGCAGGGAGCTACTTGTATGAATATCTCTCTGATTTACATATTTTTTTCTTTTCATCTTTCATTTTTTTCTGCTCAGCAGCCTAAGAGGTACCTGTTTTGTTACATTTTATAAATAGGTCTAAGTTAATCTGGGAAAAAAAACAACACACTTTTCTGTTTACTCAGTCAGTATTTGATACAACTGACACAACATAATAATAAAATACATATTTTTAAAATTCAACATATTGTAAAAATGTAGCCCGTCATGTTATGGAAAAAGCTTTTAAGAAAAAGGACGCTTATTAAGCATTAGTCGATCAATAAGATCAATCATCTTTAGATTAATTGATAACTTGCATCCCTAATCTGATAGAAATATCACCAAAATTAATTAAAGGTTGTGTTCATCTCTTGTTTTTGGATGAGAAGCTAAACTAACATAATTTTATGTTTTTGTTTTAAGATGAAATGCAGTTGGGGGAAAAAAACAACTAATTCTTTTTCTTTCACCCATTTTTTTCAGCACTCGAAACAACTCAGGCCGAGCTCTTTGATTTGAAGACGAAGTATGACGAGGAATCCACGGCAAAGTACGTGTCTCTCTGGGCTGCGTGTGTGTTTACAGGGTGACTTTTCCCCTCTGGCGCCCTCCATATTCTGCTCTTGACATAATCATCCTGCTTTAGTGATTCTCCCTCCCTGGAAACTCCTCCTGCTCTCTCCCCTAACAGCTGGAATGTCTCCCACAACGCTCAGCAGCCTCCAAATCCCAGCATTACCCACTCACAGTAAATACTGAGAGGGATTGTAATGCATTTTGCAGATTCGGCAGAGCATCAAAATAGATTTATGTTTTTTGCCGTGGAGTTTAGAGTGCTCCGTCTGGATCGGAGAGACAGAGAGCAGCACACTTTGAGGCCTCGGACTTGGAGCCACACGGGTTTTTTTTTTTATTTTTTTAACAGGACCTGAAAAACAAGATGGCTTCAGGTACTCGAGCTGTGTGCATCTATCATTATTGATCTGGTTGTGTTGGGCATGATGAAAACTGCTTTTCCATGTCTGCAATCCACACTGAGAGACTCCTCACTGTCTAAGTTTTAGCTATGGGAACTGAAACCACTTTAGTGTCGAAACTCCTTTCAGAAAGCTGAAAAGTCGTATTAGTGGGCTGTGAAACGATTAAACGGGATGAATCGATTGTTGAAATAATAGTCAACTAATTTAGTAATCGGCTAATCGTTAACTGGAGCATACACACTCAGACATGCCATTTGCTGAAAGAGCAACAAACTCAGAGCAGTAATTAAGCCAAAGCTATGCAAAGAATGTATAAGTTTGGCATTTACAATGCAAAAAAACCTCCTTTTCCTGTAAATGTGTTCTTTCCATTACTCAAGTGGCAGTTTTAGCTTCACCTGGTTCAAATTCTGTTAGAATTTCCTTTTAAGCACCTTTTACTGTCCAGTTATCAGTTATTTAATCCAAAAAAAAAAAATAACCTAAACTCTTGATAAATCAAGCAGAAATGGCTGAAATCTTCACATTGACGTATTGTTTTAGCTTCAGATCCGTCAGTCGTTTGCTAAAGTAATGCTGTTATTGCATTTTAGGGAATAAAATATTTTATTTTCTTACTTGGAAGAGGAATTCGGTTGTTTATTTAATGTATTTCCAATATTGTATTAAAAAAAGGGGGGGGAGGAGAGGAGTTGAGGAGACGTTCAAAGCAAGGTTGGATTATAAAACTTAACACCATGGTAAAAAATACCATTCCTATCTCTAAACATGGCGGTGGCAGCATCATGGTCAGCTGGTCAGCTCTCTTTAGGATCCTGAAGCCACAGGAGCTGAAAGACGGGTTCGGCTACTAGAGATGTGTGCCGCCATCGTTATTGATCTCCTAGTGGTGGGCAGGATGAGAACAGAAGCTTTTCCATGTCTGCACTCCACGCTGCAAAGTGCCACTTTATGACATTCACACTCCGCCGTCTCTCAGGGTTAGCGGTGGGAACCAGAACCACTCGAGCGTCCGGACTCCTTCCACAAAAGCTGAAAAATAATATTTATGGGACGGCGGGTGGGGAGAAAGAGAGAGAGGAGAGGGGGGAGCAAGACGTTTATCGTTTTATTGATCATCTGTGCTCCGTAAGAGAAAGTGGCACTTTTCTGGAACTCCCTTGCTAAATACGAGGCGTTTAATAAAAGCTTGAAGGGCGTCCCGCGTGCATGCATAAAGTACAACCTGGAATCAGCCCCGCTTTCAAAAAGCCGCCCCGTCCAGTGGCATTCCGTGTCTCTCCATTACCAGCGTTGTTAAATTGATTGGCTGTTAAAAACAGATCGATCCCTCCTCTGTCTTCCTCAGAATATTTTTTTTTCCCTCCCTTTTTCTTCCACCCACACTTTATCTTTTATCTCTCAGCCTTGTGTGTTTGTGTTAGCGGAAAGGCCATATGAAGATATTGCGTGCAGCGTGGAGGCGCTAATCGATAGTTATTGTTTATCAAGGAGACACCTAGTTTTTTCCACTTCTCTGACTGTCTTGGACTTCTTTCTCTACTTTCTTAGAACTTCACTACTTCTTCTTCCTCCCTTCCCATTCTTTTTCTTCCTTTCATTTCAGACAAGAACCCTGTTAAAAGGGATGCCTATAGTCAGCCCCATTTGCTTACAGAAGCTAATAAGCACATGCCCGCCCACATCCACACACATGCACTCACATTAAAGTATACACACACTTGCTCGCTCACTCACTCATTCGTGAGCCTCAGGCAGTCAGGGTCCTTGACTATGTGGCGTGCTGTGATCTGAAATTTTAATGCAACGCTTTAAAGCGCACACAAACCCCTCTCCGACCCTGCACCCTCCCAGTCCTCGGAGTCCTTCCCCCCCGTTTACTGCTTGGCTGAGCAAATCACCAGTGTTTGGCTGAACAACTTTTAACCCTTTCAGTGGGTCTACTGTCACACAAATGCCATTCATATTATGTGAAACATACACACGTCGATACACACGCACGCGAACATGAATTCGCCGTGTAAACTTCCCAGCGAGGAGTTTACGTGACAAATCCGACCCCCCCGCTCCCGCCTCCTGCAGCCCCCTCGTCTCTCGCTGCGTTTAGGTAATCTCCCTTTTAAAATACACTCTCACACACACCGATGACACACCCCGACAATCTGGATGACGTGGCGAAGCCCACGGTGTGTGTGTGTGTGTGTGTGTTTGCGAGAGGATCGGCAGGAGGCAGACCCTGTGGATGTAACGTTGCGCCCCCCCTCTTCTGCGAGAGTCTGGCCAGCCGCCTTTTAATCGTTTAGTCCTTGTTAAAGATTAATGATTTATTGATTTCCAGCCCCACAGGATGCTTTAGGAGGGCGTGTGTGTACAAATTTCTCTAAATGTTTCTCTGTCTCTACCGCTCTAGTTATTCTTATTCCCAACAATTAGGCAAAGTATATTTATATTTAAATTAACAAGGCCAGTACAGCTGGGAGATAAATCATTTTAATCATTAATCAATTTTTTTTTGTTTTTTTGAAGACGACATTTTTGGAAAATCTGGACATTCTTTTTCTCACTATTGCAATCCTCAAGTGTCCACAGCTCAGAGTGACGTCAGCAGGCCCAGGGCGGCCATCTTGTTTTGACAAGTGTGCTTTACAGCTTCTACTTATTTAGACTTTGAATTCAGATCAACTCTGTCATGGAATATCAGACTAAGATTTTTTTGTTTTTTTACTAAAAGTCCTAGTGTTACAAGAACACAGTCATAGTAACGCAAGAAGTTGAGATAATACAAGAATAAAGTCATAATATTGGAAGAATGAATCATTTTTAATGAGAACTTCGAAACAAGTTAATTGTATAAGTTTGTTATTCATTAAAACAACTTTTGTTCTCATAATTTTAAGACATCGTTCTGGTAAATTTGTCTTTATTCTGCTGATATTGTGACTATATTCTTGTAATTAAGAAAAAAATTCTCATAGCCTGGTCCTGATACCCTGTCGTATTATTCACAGAAAGAATGATTGAAATCAAATCCACTTTTTGAAAATGTTTTCTGTCATTTGTAATTTCGTTTTTGGAAAAGAAAGAGGGAGACAAAATCGATATGAAATCGGATCTGGTGTAAAAAAAAAAAAAAATCGGAGAGTTCATTTCCAAGCCGCATCGCCCAGCCCCGGTGTCCATTACAAGCACCCACAAACGTAAAATGGCGCAAGGATATACTCAAAACACACACACATGCTCTCTCTCTCTCTCTCTCTCTCTCTCTCTCTTTCTCTCTCTCTTATGTCTCGTTTCGTTTTAAGCCTCCCTGAAATCCCTACGGTAACACGCTGTGAAAATGCAATGTGGAGAAAGCCAAGGAAAGAAAAGAAATGGAGTGATGAAAGCTGGTGGGCAAAAAAAAGAAGCAAAGCCAGGGGGTGCTTGAGGCCTCGGCGAGGAAGACGGGATAAGAGTGTGATAGAGAAAGGGAAATGAAAATCTAAATCAGGGGAATATCCTGCTGGCACAGAGGACAGAGGCCGAGGAAGAGAGGGCGATAGATGAGAGAGAGAAAACTGGAAGGGAACAGTTCAGAGGAGGAGAACAGAGGCAGAGGGGAGAAAAAGGAGCAGTCGAGAGAGAAGAGCAGGACAGAGAAGATAAGAGATGAAACGGCCTGTCTGAGATGGAGGATGTGCAGTCGGGGCTCTGAGGCTCTGGGTCGCTTTCAGAAGTCCTGCTAATGTCGCCGGCTGCACCCACCAGCTCTCCTGGCACAAAGAGCGCCTCTGTACGGCTACTTCTCTGTTCCTGTCTGCCGATTCTCTACACAGCGCCGCCCTGTGGTCGCCATGTTGAGCTTTACATTTCGGCGGCGCAAAACCGCACTCCGTCCCCCCGGTTTATTGTTCGGCGATGAATTTAGTCAGACCTTCGGGACCCGCCCCGCTCGGCGGGCCGGGCCGACTGTTATCAGGACGCGCTGAAAATCCCCTTCCCTGTGATCTGCTTTGGCCCTCAGCCCTTATAATTCCCAAATACAGCCAAATCCAAAGGTTATTTAAGAAGACTTTGTGCATCTGTACTTTGATTAAGCGATCACATTTGGAGTAGGAGCGCCGCTGTATTTGGGTTGCATTACCTCCCATAAACGCTCTCCATTACAAGCTTTTTGAGCCCGGTGGCTTCCTGACCTCGTGTGTGTTTGTGTGCACATACATGTGTGTGTGGAACGTAGGCCGAGTCAAGCACGGTATAGCTTAAGACTGGATAAAAGCTGTTTGAGGTAGCGTTACTATTATGTTGCCTAAACACACACACCAGATCCTTTCAACTATTAAGGAAAGAGTAAAAAAAAAAAAGAAAAAAGCGTAGAGCGAAAAAGCTCTCCCACCCACATCTAGATTCTTTTTGCTGCATCGCCCGTGGCACAATGTTGACCTAATATCAACTGTGTCTGTTTTGTTAAACACATTCAAATCAGCAGTACGCGAGCCTATGGGACACAGCGCTGTTTCGCATACTGTGACACACAAATACAAAAGCTGCGTGGGCTTATTGGGTTCGCTATCAAAAGATTGCAGTCGGATCAAAAGGTCCTAATGGAGGCAGCGGTGCACATATGTGCTCGCATCTTTGCTCTCGCCGTGTCTTAAATAAGTGGGCTGGCGTGTAGCGTGCTTTCTTTGTGCTGCGCTGAACGCCATTTCTTTATTTCCGTTCCTCCTTCTGCAGCGCTTCGTAGAAATATTCATTCCTCTTGAAGTTCACGTTTGGTCTTATTATAAGTAGATTTTATTTTCATGGGAATTGATGGAATAGGTTAACACAAAGTAGAAGTGGAGTGAAGTTGGCTCCTCCGCCTTCTTCGAATCGAACAAAATTGACGTCAGTTTGTGCTTCGTTTGTGCCAGTCTTTTCCTTTGGTACACTTTAATTTGGTTTACACAATCCAAAGATGGGTGATTAAACACACAAATTTCATTATTGGAGTGCATTTCCAAAATCTGAAACCATCAAATGGATAATTAAACATACAGTTAGAGCTATAATAGAATGAGTTAGATCTGTTCCTTCACCAAATTTAGCCTCTGCAGCAAAACTGAGTGCCTCTGACTTTTGATTTTCATTGACACTCATAAATCCTGACTTGTATTGAATTATTTTACAAAGAAGAGTTTGAACATGTGCAAAGTTGGTAAAGTTATCTAAACAGCTTATCGCATTAAAATCTACCGAAAACATTCAAATTCAAAAATACCTTTATTGATCCCAAAAGGAAATTAAATGATGTAGTAACTCGTATTAATTCACGATTCTTCAAAGAGTTGCTGTAGAAGGTGATGGCTGTGGACAGGAAGGATCTCCTGTAGCAGTCTGTATTACAGCGAATTTGCAGAAGCCTCTGACTGAAGACACTTTTATGAAGAGCATGCTCAGGGTTTTCCATAATTTTCTTGGCTTCATGTTAAGTGTAACATAAGAAAGCGTAGAAACGAATGCACAATAAAAAAAACAAACATGTATGATTGTGAGCTTTAAGGAGCAAAGAACTCAGATGTTCTGAGTTTTATTTGTAGAAAAACTATAAAAAGAAGTTATAGAAGATTCATCCAGTCTTGCAAATTGGCATAAATCATGTTTAGATGAGAAAATTAAAAGTTTAAACACATCAACTCTCATTTAACATGTAGATTTCCCCTGTTTGAAGGCAGATGGTTGGCGTTTACATCCACCTTCACGTAAAACGTGAACAATTTTTCCAGCCTCCTTTCTTTTTTCTATTTTTTTTTCTTTGCCTGGATGTATTCTTGCCATCTGACCTCTAGCAAGTGAGAGGTGAACCCTGGCCTCCATCCAGACCATTAGTCAGACACAATCACACAGCTTCATAGCAGATTAGTCTGCTGTATTAGGACTTAGAGCTCTATTAATGTAATCCCTCTGTTTTAGTGTGGCCTGGGGTTTAGGGGGCTTACATGTGCACACTCACACGCATAGGCACACATGTGCACTTAAGTACATGTATGCAAGCATGCTAGCTGTTCGAGTAATGGAGTTTTACAACCGGTGGATTAAGGTGAAATTTAGACGGAGGCTAAACGGAGGCCGAGTTTGTGGGCAAAATGTTCTTTTGTTTCCGAGAACCTGCAAAGTTTTCCCTCCTCCTCCTCCCCTCGCTCTGAGCTCCGTTTGCCGTTTCATCGTGTTTCGTCCGCTAATTAATCGGACATGTCTCTTTCAGGGCTGACGAGATTGAGATGGTGATGACGGACTTGGAAAGAGCCAATCAGGTAATTCACTCAGTGTCATGTTGCTGTTTTATTAAAAATTGCCCATCACTCAGAGAAGTTTGGACATGAATTTGCAGAATCAAATGGCCAAAATTTCAATCAATCCACCGTTTAGCTTATTTTTTATTTAACGGCAAATGGCCAAGGTAAAAAATAAAAAATAAAAAAAAAGCCTAGAATTTGCTTTCACTTTTTCAAATCTGGATATGTTTTTGAAAAAAGATGAATATGGCAGGATATTTGATTCCAGTCACTTTAACTTGTTTAGTAATTTTCATATTAGAACATTTTGCTTCTGTTTTTTTTTTTTGCTTTTTTTTTGTGTGTGATTACATTTTTCTCTATAATGCGCTATCATGTTGTTTTACAAAAACAAATTCTATCAAAAAAGAAAGACTGATACAAAGGGAGTCATCTTTGTTTCACACCCAATTTCTTGTTGTTGCCGTTATAGCAGTCAGAGATGATCTGTATCTGTAACAAATCGATCTTTAGAAACTTTTTTCATGGAAATGATGCAACTCCCAGCATCACTTCCATGAGTTTCATCAAAATTCGTTTGTTTGATAATACGTGTTTTTATATATTAAAGAAAAACTGTGCTCACAAGTAGGAGCTCAAGATCATGGGAACTTTATGATATAAAAATAAAGATCCTTGGATGTTGACATGTTATGATGAGAAAAGGAAACTTTTTTCACAGCGAAACAAGCTCAACGCCTCATTATCTTAAGATAACCAGCCAGTGAAACTTGTAACAAAAAACCCAAAATTATATAATTTTGAGACGATATTAAAGAAATGATCACAACAAAATGGGCTTGATCTCGTGTTCCTGAGTTAATAAAACTGTTACTCTTGAAAGTGAATAGAAATTTGTTAAAATTACACTTTAGGCATGGATTTGTAGAATAGTTTTTTGCATTAATATCCAAGTTTTCACAAAAGAAACGTAGGAAAATCCAAAGTGCAAAAACACCCCATTAAAACATTTCTTTCCAGGCTTTCCTTTGTACCGTTTCCATCTGGATAATGAGATCTACAGTTAATCTGTAGATGATTTTATTAAAAACATTCCACGCACAACATTTAGGCTTTGAAATAATTGAACGGTCAGTGACACGTTTGTTTGGAATTAGCTTTGGGTGTCCGTCTCTCAGGTGATGCGATGTGGTTTTGTTGTTGGCAGAACTCTGATGCTGAAATCCAAACACACAGAAACGACATCAACGTGTTCGTCTGTAATGCTCGAAGATATTATGTGTGGAAAAGTGTGAATTTTGAGATGGAGAAAGCGTGTAGGAAAAAAAGAAGAAAAAAAAACTTTCAACCAAACGCCTGCCGTCTGTGTAAACCCTCCGACGCTGAGCTAAAAACACGAACCGGGGGTAAAATAAGAATCTCTCTGACCGAGTCATTCCTTCATTATGGGTAAACAGGGGCTGTTGCTGTTTTAACTCGACCCCGCCCTTGTCGTCTTTGCTGCAGAAAATACTCACCTGAGTGCCGGCTGCGTATTAATCTGCGGCTGAAAATAGTCCCGAACAAGCAGCCTATTTGTTCTGCTTTGAGCAGCGCTAATGTCCAGCTGGTTTTAAGGAATTATTAAGCTCTTTCTAAAAACGCACCGTGTATTTTTGACTATTTTAAACCCAAGAGAAAAGTAAAGTTGTGCTACTTCTTTTTCTTTCTTTTTTTTTTGCCTGGAAAAATAGACATTGTTACTCATAATCGCTTGCCAGTTCAAAAGCTATGAAAACTATCCCCTGTATTAAAAACATGAATCTTTAAATAGAGCGAACACCTACTGAGTTCATCCAGCTGGAGCGAAGCTCCCAGCATTCCCTCTGCCCCGGCGTTGTTAAAAAATCCCTTTGCTATCTGTTAATGTCATTGTTGTTAACTTTCATTGTTAGGCCAAGAGTATGATTTTGGTTAAAGGGCCAGCATAGGCATGCAATGTTAATATTAGCCCAAAGGTTAACGCTCCGACTATAATGCCACTCTCACACACACACACACACACTCTCGCGCTGTTCACACTTTTGATTTGAGGTTTACTGAGGGTGACAGCGTGGCCCGCAGCTCAGTCAGACTTTTTAGAAGCTTTTACGAGAAGAAAATGGAAAACAGGACTTTTTTTTCTTTTCTTTTCTTTTTTTTTGTCTGGCCTGGCACTTTAACTCCCACCCAGTCAATAACAGCTCTCAAGATGGTTGCAATTAGGAACGCTGTGAAATCGGCTCCCTGTAACTCCTAATGATGGCAAGTTGGGCCAGCGTAGCAGATGATTCCAGACTAGAGCATGGCCGCGTGGTTGTAAATGCACGGCCACGCTTATTATTTCTGTTCTACAGGGAAATATATTATGATTTATGAAGGAAATCAATTTATATATTTATTTTTATACATTTTGAATATTCCCCCCCCCCGTCGTGTTATTGAGCATTTTGTTTAGGCTGTAAAGGGGGCCCGTTTCCTTTCGTACACAAACGCTTCACAGCGTGATGGCGGATTGTGTAATGGAAAACCTTTACGCCTTCACTTTATTACCTCTGGCTCCACGCTCGCGCGCGCTGTTCTGCGCGGCGAAGTGAACGTCCTTAGGTTTCGATCAATAACTGCAAAGAAACAGTCGGTGCCGATCAAATTAAATCGGGTTCCCAGCCTAATAACCATCTCATCTCCAGTTTACGTTTGTGTTTGTTTTCCAGCGAGCGGAGGCAGCAGAGAGGGAGGCGGAGGCGCTCCGAGAGCAGCTGTCGTCATCTAACCAATCCCAGCAGCTCAGCAGTCCCACCAAGGCCGACCCTGACTCGGTAACCCACTTTCGTTGCCTCGCTGATTGGTCGGTGGAAAGCTGCTGATGGGATAAAACTCCCTTTTTTTAACCGAGAAGTGATGATGTTCAGAGCCAAAAGTTGTTTTTTTTTGTTTTTTTTTAAAGAAATATGTAAAGCTGCAGTTTTTGATTTTAATATTTTTTTCCCGCATCTGGATGAAAACTGAATAATATAATTGAGTAGGGAGAAATGATTCAAGTTCCTTGTTCTGTTTTCCCAGATTATTCTGGGAATAAATCACTTTAAAAATGAGCTAATTTTCTGACAGATTAGGCAGAATAGATCAGGGGTGTCCAAAGTGTGGCTGAGGGGCCACTTGTGGCCCTTGGACTGACGTTTTTGTGGCCCCTAGCTGCATTTTTATTTTGATAATGGGACGAATGATTTCTACAAATAAGCTTAAAATCTCATTACTTCAAAATAGTTGAGATAAGGAAACTAGTTGAAAATATTTTTTTCCTCAACAGAATTATATAATGTCAACACGGCCAAAATAAGCTAAAAAGCTGGTAATTAGGAAAATACAAATCTGAAGATTTCATTGTGTTGAGATGGTTAATTAAACTGTACACAGATGAAAACAAGTGAAATTGCTCTTGTGACAAAACGATTCAGATTTCATTATCTTGAGATAAAGTTTGAAACTAATGGCAGCAAGCTGAACATTATCTCGAGATAATAAAAACTGGCATTAGCAACAAAAAGAGATGCAGATATCCTGATGATGTGATATGGTTAAATTATCACACATTTAAATCACATTTTAAAGTAGCAAGATTACAGTTATCACAACAAAAATGAACCATAGATGATATTATCTCCAGTTTTTCCATTTATTAAAAGTGTTATCACTGGGGAAAAAAGCAGTAATAATGAACCCTAAAACACTATTAAAGATGTAAGTGAATCCACTTTATGTTAAATATTTGCACAGACTAAAATAGTTAGACATTTAAAGAAATTCTTTGATGATTTTGTGTCCAGGAGAGTCAGTTTTAGGTTTATGAAGGAGTAGGAACTGTGAGGGTTTTTTTTTTTTTAAGCTTGATTCAGCGGTAAATGAAACTTTACAACATACGCCGTCATGGATTGTTTTGGCTCATTACCATTGGCAAATTAGTTTATTCGAAAGGAACTTTCTTTATAGACTCTAAACAAAGATTAGAAGAAGTTCAATTAATGAAAGTTTTTTCTTTTCTTTTTTTCACACCTCTTTCTTGCCCGCAGGATCAGGCGTCGGAGGTGGCGTCGCACTCGAACCTGGAGGCGGAGCTCAGGGCCAAAGAAAGGGAGACCGCCCAGCTGGTGGAGGATGTCCAGAGACTGCAGGCCAGCCTGACCAAACTCCGTGAGACCACCAGCTCCCAGATCTCCCAGCTGGAGCAGCAGCTTAGCAGCAAGTCTGCAGTTCTCAAGGTATACAAACAAAACATTCAACTTCCTCACTTTTTTTTGTGTGTGTGTGTGTGTGGGATCTCTACTCTTCAGCCATAAAACGTTTTTAGGACTCTGTAACTTCTTCCCATTTTCCCCTTTTTCCGCTCCGTGTTGTAATAATCGTGTTCATCTTGACTAAAGCCGCTGGAGCGTTTCCGTGAAATTCTCACTTGTCATCTCGTTGTGATCCGTCAGGAACTGGAGGAGAAACTGGAACGGCAAGCCGACTATGAGGAGGTCAAGAAGGAACTAAGGTGGGGTTAAAATTAGAAAAACACTTTTATGTGAAGACCAGAGGAATATCCTCATTTCAACCAAGTGAAAGAACAGAGTCCATGGGTTCTGGTGAGCTGAAAGTTTCTCCTTTTATCCCCTCAGCATCCTTAAGACGATGGAGTTTGGAACCGACTCAGTGCAGGTTAAAAAAAAACACTAAATTCACGTCTAACGGGCGGGAATTTAAGATCTGAAGGTATAAACAAAATTCAACCAATGCTCATCACCTCTTCGTTCCCCTCGTCCTCCTCGCCAGGACTCATCCAAACCTCTGGAGGTGCTGCTGCTGGAGAGGAACCGGACTCTTCAGTCGGAGAGCGCCGCGATGCGCATCGCCAACACGGAGCTGAGCGGTAAGTTCGAGTCGATGCCGATAGTGAGAGACCTGGAGAAGTCCAAAAAAAAAAAAAAAAAAACTTCCGGGGGTGAAACTTTAGCTTCGTACGAGGCTGTACAGGAATGTAGAGCGAGGCAGAGATGTGCGCGCATGCGCAGTGGCATCAAAGCGTTTGTTTCTAGAGTAAACCGTTTAGAGGAAGGATCAGGGGAATGAAAACTCTCCACGGTTTAGGAAGGTGTTATGTTTGTGTTCTAAATCTGACCTAAGCATCTCTAAAAGTACAAAACCAGATGAAAGACATCAAGGTTGTATCATAAAATTATAAAAACCGATCGTTTTTGGTGGGAACTATTCCACTTTTTGCCATTAGTCGTTGGCTGAAACAGAACTTCTGTCTGGGGTTCTGAGACTTTTGATGCCACTTCATGTTGGTTGGCAGGTTCCTTTTCTCTGAGAATACTTAAATATTTCATTTTCGATTGAATTATTTAAACATTGCCACCGCCATCCACAGATTTATCGTTTTAAAACGGGGCAGGAAAAAAAAGCCCGTTGTGTGACTGTGAAACCTTTGTTGTGGTGCAAAGATGTTGCTTTTGCCTCACGTTTTGCAGAAAAGCATTTGTTGTGTCTTTTTATAAATGCACCAGCAGGCGGTTCAACCTGAAAGGTAAAAAAAGAAAAGAAAAAAAAAACAACCTAGCATTGTACAGCAACAAAAAAAAGGAGGAGACCATCCTCTGTTCTTTACATCGGGACTCGGCTGCCCTCTCCAAACTGTGTTTATGGGTTTGAAATGTCATTGCTTTAGGCTTGAATAGTTGAATAGCTTAGAATTGATTAACATTCACAGTGAGAGGAGCTTACTGTCTTATTCGATCATGTTAAAGTCTCAATGGTTACGCATTAAAATAATTCTCCCAAGCGGCTCGACGGGATGAATCCTAGTCGTTAAGACTGGAGAAATATAGTTTATGTCTGCATGTTCTGGTTATTGTAAATATATATATATATGCTGGTGTTTTTTTTTCTTTTTCTTTTGATCAAAGTTTGAGATCTTCTTTTGTAGCTGAAGTGTTGTTTTTATTTTAAATGAACTAAAAGACTGTGACGCAGCATCTGCAGTGGACTGAGAAGACTGTTGAAGTGGACTCACCCAGTCTTATTGACTCCATCAGGAAACCTTTTGTTTCTTTTTTTGTAAACTCTGTTCGGCTACCTCTAGAGACCGAGCCTGTGGCCAGGCTAAGCCGCCCGCGTGGCACGGTGACAACTGTTTTGTTTTTGTCCTGTTTCCTTCCAGGCTGTGGCTTACAAGAAAGGTTGAAATCACAAATGCATGGGCACTTTGTCTAGGGGGGGATTGGCAAAAAAGGAAAGTTCACTAATTAAAAAAAAAAAAAACTTCACAAAAATAACTTTTTTTTTTTTTTTTTTTTTTTTTTTCTCTTTTTTTTTTATTCCCTCTTTTTTTTTATTTCCCCATAAAAACCA